CGACCATAAAACTTCAGCGATGGGCTGGTTGAAGTCGTCCCCAAACGACAGGCGTTGCAGGGAGGCCGGCCATACGACTTCAGCGAGAGGGTATTCGAACTGATCCCCGAACGAAAGCTGCTGCAGGGAAGCTGGCCATACGACTTCGGCGATGGGCTGGTTGAATCTATCTCCGAACGACAGCTGCTGCAGGGAGGCCGGCCATACGACTGTGGCGATGGGCTGGTCGAAACACAAACCGAACGAAAGTTGCCGAAGGGAGGCCGGCCATTCGACTTCGGCGAGAGGTTGGTCGAAGTAGAACCCGAACGATAGCTGCCGCAGTGAGGCTGGCCAAACTACTCCAACGATGGACTGTCGAAACGACCAGCCAAAGGAAAGCTGCTGCAAGGAGGTCGGCCACATGACCCCCGAAATAGGCTGGTCAAAACACCGGCCGAGCGACAGCTACCTTAATGAGGCCGGCCACAAGACTTCGGCGATGCGCTCATTGAAAGAATCTCCGAACGAAAGCTCCTGCAGATAGACCGGCCACACTACTAGGGCGATAGGCTCGTTGAACCTATTCCCAAACGAGAGCTGCCGAAGTGAGGCCGGCCATACGACACCGGCGATGGGCTGGTTGAACCAATCTCCGAAAGAAAGCTGCTCCAGGGAGACCGGCCACACGACTCCGGCGATGGGCCAGTTGAACGAGTCTCCAAACGAAAGTTTCTGCAGGGACGCTGGCCATACGACTTTGGCGATGGGCTGATTGAACCTTTCCCCGAACGAAAGCTGCTGCAGGGAGGCCGGCCACATGACTTCGGCGATGGTCTGATCGAAGTTTCCACTGAATGATGCCTGCTGCAGAGACATCGTCCAACTGACCCTGGCAATATGCTCGTCGCACCAATGCCCAATCGAAAGCTGTTGTAGGGAGGGCGGACATTTGAGCGTGGCGATCCGCACGGTGAACCCATCCCCAAACTCAAGTTGTCGCAGAGAAGGCGGCCATACCGTCAATGACAAAAAAGAAGACTCCTCTTGGTCAAACCCCCGCCTTGGTTTTAGTCCATGTGGGCGCGATCTGCTTTCGAATCTCTCCAGGCGCAGCCCCTCCAACTGTTTACCACCGCAACATAAAAAAGGCAGGGTCAGGAAGGATGATATCGTTTGGGTAAAACACCATCAAGAGAGCCAAGTTCGGGGACGCATCTTCAGTCAGAGCGAAGGCAGCCAGACACGAAATACGGCGCGGGCACTTGCCCCCGGGCAGCATAAATCCTTCGGTGGGGTGTCGATTTTCCATGTCTGCAAACGACCTTGTCGCCGTTTGTACAGTTTTCTGTCCAGAACACGCGCAGGACCATCGGTCTCAAGCCCAGCCTGGCAGCACACGTGTACACCTGTCCGTCGGCTCCTTTCAAATGAAGGTCTCCGGCGCGAACGCCTTTTGACGAACGTTTGGAGGAGGCGCGGCCCCTTCTTTTTCTTTTCCCCTCCCGTTCCCCCTCACGTGCCTGTTGCACTGGTATCCAATCGCGAGCTGCAGCACACAAGCATGGATATTAGATACAATCAACACCGTAAGCGAACCGAAGCATTCATAAACAAATTCCCCGGCAGTCGGCTGCTTCGTATAAAGAAAAAAAATAGACACGAGCCGACGCCACAAAGAGGATGACGGTCCTGCTCTCAAGACGAAAACGAATAACTAACCTTTCCCTTTTCCCCCCTTTTCGGGGGGATTTCCAGCAGCATGAATGGCTTTTCGGGATCGAATTTCCCGTCAAGCACCTCCTTACGGAGCGGAGGGAGTTCCGCGTCCTGAATGAAATAATCGAAAGTGCGGCGCGAGAGTCAACGGTTTCACAAGGAAAATGTAACGCCCGCTGCCAGCGGTGGGGCATCATACCCTGTGGTGCGCATCAACGAGCTGTTGCCGTCTCATCGGACGACTGTCGCAGCAACGTTTGCTCGCATGAAAGCCGGGCCTGGACGCAACAAAGCCTACGAACCTTCACCGCGGCGGCGAGCGTTGCAGCCTTGCCACCTTCGAGATACAAAGCATGTCACACCCCTGAAGACGAAAAAAACAATAACTGCTGCTCTTCTCTGAGTCCCATAATGTTGCATTGTGCAATCCGAAACCGAGCTAGACTTGGAATCCATACGTGTCTTCTGCCTTTCTTGTCAAGCACTCGTTCGGCCAAGACACGCGCGGGGGGAAGATTTAGTTCTTCCACCGCGGTTGTACAATGTGTAGGAGGCAAGCACTAGAACTCCATTGGACAATAGCTTTGGTGCCAAGCAATTCGCACATGCGAACTGTTCCTACCAAACACAAGGCGGAGTGCTGAGAGCCGCGTCCACCGCACCTGGCAATAAAGGTGCATGCAAGTAAACCCCCACCAAACCGCCTTATTTGACGAAGCTGTCGTCCCTGAGGGCATCAACAAGCTCCCGGTACAAGCCGACACTCAGCGATGCCGCCAGCGCCGCCGGGTAAGTTCCTTTTTCCGGCATCGTCGGTTATTCCCTCGTCGTGGTTGAAGACGCCGAATGCCGCCTTTCCTCTCGGCCTCCTGAAGAGGTGTTTTGGTCGTAATCGAGCCCACCTAGTCTGAGAACTCGCTAGATGAGCTCCTTCTTGCTGCCGCTTGCCTGCGAGTGGTGATGGTGGCAATGCGGCCGGGTTGTCGTTGCTTGTCCTGGTGTTGCCATTGCGGGGTTTTCGGCGTTGGACTGTGTTGCTGACAACGCCACGCCGGGTTCACAAAGAACCTGGGTGTTTAGAACAGTCTCCAACCTCGGAAGTACATTGGCGGAAACATGAAAAATTCGAAAACGGGTCCAACATGACATTTCCCAGCTGAACCACTAATGGTCCATTGAGTGATGGACAAATACGCCATCGCTGTAATGAAGGTTCATGAATGTCATTACCTAAGTCGAAGCAAACGTATGAAGTCATTCGCCCTGGCAACCCTCATCGACCACACTTCGGAAAGGCTGATATTCTGCCCTTGCTGAATGGATAACCTTGGCTAAACGGGAGAGCTTCGGGGCTTAACCCTCCTAGTACTGGACGCGCGACTGGGGACGAACCGGGGAAACAGCACTCAAATGTCTGTTTACCGCATCATCGTCACCCAGGTCCGCCGTGTGGGTGACGTGGTACGCTGTGTGATGCCCCTCCTCGGCTTCTGACTTGCTATCAATCTCCCAACCCGGGTGCCCCTTGTTGGTAAAACCTGGAAAAGAATTAGTGACTTGGCTTCAGTATGAAAAGCGCCCCCACGTGTTTTGGGGACACTTTATACGGAAGTCAAATCACCCTTTGTCTGGCAAGCAGCTCAGCATTCTCTGTTTTCTTTGGAGGGACTGTAGCCCCGTGGCCAATGATTGTGCAATATTGTTTTTGTGAGGAGGGACGGCGTACTAAGAGGGTTAACCGGTCCCGGATTTCTTTTAGGACAGGCTTAAACACTCCGTCATGAATTGCTTAAACAAAGGGTTGATGTTGAGTTTGCACAAAGCGGGGTGACAACGAACGGGCAAGTTCATGTGGATGAGCACAGCCGCCGGCAACGGAAGCCCAATCACCCTTGGCGTTGTTTTCTTTTGTTTTCGGGGAAGGGGGAAAGTGTTGTGGACAACATGGAGCAGCGGGTCTATCTTCACCAAGGCATGGACTGCGCGGTCGAAATTAAGCCAGCGAAACATGTAACATGAAAAACACCCGGCTGGCGGTATACGCACAGCGATCTCCAACAGAATTCCTCCGTTCTTGTTAATTATTGCCCAGACTCGAAATGATCACTTTCAGGCACGGGCGTCAATTGTCCACATAGTGCAACGATGTGGGTACTCCGCATCAGTCGGTTCTCTAATTTTCTAACCTCAGAGAGGTTAAAGGCTGTTGGATAACACACCGCGCAGCTCTTCGTATATTCAGGACTGCCCTCAACGAGGGATCCATATTTCTTCTTCGAAGTCACCCGTATCTCTCCCGTCTACACGTTACGCGTCAACCGATACTTCCTGATAACCAATCTAAGACCACGACCTTCTAAAATGTCGGTGTATTATTTTGGTCAGATGGGAAATATCCCGTGTTCTTTGGCGAAAGAATAATATTGAAATTAGGGCTATGCTCGAACGATGCACGCGATTGACCAACAGAATGACGCCACTCACATCTTCGCCCCCAATGTGGCACAATGATTCCAGGCTCTCGATCGGGACCAACGATAGCGTGGAGCGCATCTCTTCGACTGTCATCCCTCTGGTGTCACATTCCTCGCTTTCTTCTTTCTCAGTTTCTTCAGTTTCCTCAGTTTCCTCTTCTTCCTCGCTTTTTCCATCCTCTGACTCGGATTCTTCTGAAGCGGTCACGGTCACAGCCACAAGCAGTTGGCGTTTCAATAAGCCTTGTACGTTCGAGGAACATCAGCGTTTGCATGGTAATCTCTGACGCGCTGCAATCGTCCGTGGATTTTCTTCTCTCAAAGCAAACCCCACTACCTGGTCTCTCCTGAAAATGTTACGGTACGAAAGGAAACTACTCATGAATACGCAGGATGTCTTGCAGCGTCTTCACTACATCTCAGGACGACGTGAACATACTAACCTTGGCCAAAGGCGGCAGGTGAAGAAGGTCGACCCTGTAGCCACAGTACAGACCTCGACCAGGCCGTAAGATACAGGACAGGACGTCGTCCCCGACCCTATTTGACAAGGGTTCTGCCCTAGAAACCGAATGCCCAGTGCCCCACACCCAACGCCCCGACATTTTATCACTTTACGCGATCAGAGGGAAACCGACAATACCTTCAGTATATCTGGAAGAAACCCGGCACCAACCCTTGGGGTTGCCAAACACTTGATGTGTAAAAATACGAGCGCAACACGCGGGGCTGGTTAACCTGCTGGAAGACAGGGGAGAGCAGAAATTCCCTTCGTCTGGTCGACGATTCCCTTGTCTGAAGGGTCATAGCGGAGACTGTAGGTCAGCGTCAGCCGGTGGCCCTCCACAACTTGTTCGATGTTGGATTCGCATTGCCCGAAGAAGGCGCACCCTGTTTTCGGAACAGTTTCATGGTCAAGGCGGGAGGAGAGGGCACCACAGAGAGCGTAACTCGACAGTCGGTCCTGGGGCAAACACAACCATTCAGTTATACTTCTGCTCCACGGAAAGGGGTGGCGCGGCATGGCATGTCCCTACATGCCCTCCCAATCTCATAATCTTGACATCTGTTGGACAGCCTCACCACTGCAGAACATTCTCCGGAGTTTTTGATAGTCTGTCGAGTCCCATTAGATTTCCTTGTTGCCCTGTCTTGTCCCCCCAGTCACGCGTGTGCGTACTGTCGCGGTGCCGCACCACAAGCCTCCCGCCAACGAAGTTGGAAAGCAGGGCAACCACGAGGGTGCCGAAGGTCAGCTTGTCCCTGGGCGTGTCGCGGTGGGACTTCAAGTGCTGGGTCACATCGAGGGAGGTGGGCGGCGAAGGGTCAACACTTCAACAACTGTAACGGAAGAATATAAACGTTAGGGTGGATTTTCGATCGTGGTTGTGAATCCCGAGCGCAAGATTCGTCCCAGGAAGCACTATACAACAACACATGAGAAAACCCAACCGAGAGAACTCGGAGGGCGAGTCACCTCGGCGACGACCAGAGCTAGACCGCACCACAATATTGACCAACCTACGTAACCCTGAGTAGACTAAACACTCGAATCGTACCCCTCCTCTTGCGTAGATGTTCAGCTTGTCGAGGGAAGTGTGGATGCGCTTTGCTCCAGGGGCAAGGCCAGCGCGAACCGCCTTCAAGATGCCCAGTTGCTCCAAGTCCACGCCGGTGGACACGGTCCTGTCCGCTTTCACCTGCGGGGTTTGCAGCAGAGAATACAATAGGAAGTTAGCGTTTTGTATTGTTTCGTTACTAGTTTGCAGTTCTGGGGACGCAACATCTCTAAGGCATACAGATAAACTGGTCTAAAGCGTGAATGCCACACGGGCGACGGGTTTCCAAGAACCCTTGCAGGTGTGCTTTGCAAGGATGGCTTTCTTCGGACGACAACGGGCCCGTGTGGTGTGATGGGCCAAGAAATAGACACCCGCACGGAACGGCACATGGCGTGACTCGTGTCTAGTCCTTCCAGCACATGGTCATTTCGCAACTCTCTGTTTGTCGGGCCAAGGAGAGAGACCCGCCGGGAGCGTAACACGGCGCGATTCCTGTAAAAGCCTTTCCGGCCGGCGGCCATTTTGCACCGCCAATATTTGATACTCTTGTGTCTATCATGCTAGTTTTCCTGCAAGACACCGATCACTCTCCAGTCGTTCCCTACAACACATGCTTCCTGGAATTCACCAACCGGGGCAATTGCTGACCACTCCTTTCACCCAGTCCCAATCAGCTCTCGACGAGTACCGTTTGGGGCCTGTAATCCTCTCGGGCATACCAGTAGTACTGTTGTCGAAGGCGTTCAAATACCTGCACGGCTTTCCTGACGCTGTTGTCCAATACAGTTTCACCGCCATGGCTGAAGGGGGAGGGCTCGAACACCTTGTGTAGGAGGTTCGCAAAATGATATTTCAAAGGGGTAGCCTTGAACGCCTCGAGCACCTTGCAGCCGGTTGGTTGAGAAGGAAATTGCTGATAAGCTCCTTCAGGTTAAGGATTCAGTTCGTTTCTCTGGTCGGGCATGTTGATACAAATGCGAAATCTTGGTCGTTGGTGCCGGGGCGGCCCAATGATTTCTTGAGAAAGGAGTAATGTAGACAGACTTCAAATACGAGGGTTTTGTACCTTCTCCAAGTACTCTGATTCGATGCCGCCATAGCGGTCCAGGAGTTCCTTGCCCTTTTCTTCTGGGAGCTGAGGGAAGAACGGTTCGGGCAGCACCAGTTTCACCGCAGCGTCCTCCTCTGCAGCAGCTGCGCCACGATCACGCGCGTAGAAATAGAAGGCCGCCGACGAGGCCGCAGCTGTGGCAGCGACAGCGGTGGCGAGGCCTGAAAAGGACGAGGAAGCTGGAGACGTATCAGCGGCGGTGGGGGAGGAGATGCGGACTGAAGAGACGAGAGCCGCGACAGCAGTGGCGGCGGAGAGGATGAACGCCGGCGACGACGCCGGAACGGACGCTGCGGTAGCCGCGGTCTTGGGGAGCAGCTTTAGCGTTATTCTCCCTTTCGGACGAACCTGCCCCAACCAAAGCACGCCAAAATCGAAAAGGTTGCAAAAATAAGAAAAGCATATTTCCAGTAGTTGCTGCCCGTGCAACATTCGTTTGACGGAACAACGTGCTGTTGGTGGCAACCCTTGCCAAAGGTGGGGGTCGGGTGCGATTTGGTCCCATTCTCGCTTCTCTGTGCTCTAAGGACGCGCTCGCGCTTCTTTCTTCGTACAAGGCACCTCCCCCGCCCTCCTCACCCCTCGCGAAAAACACAAGGCTCTGCAATAGCGCTAGTTCGTGTGTACACAGAGGGAAGAGAGTGCTGAACTCTTCTCGCATTAAAAACCGAAGGCAATGTACCGCAGGAGGGGATAGTAGAGAGGGGCTCTTCTGTGTGACCACGGGTTGGAGTAAACGGCACTAGTGCTGTGAGCGCTGACTTGAAGTAAAGACAAAAAAAAAGAAAAAAAAAAAACATGTTACATACCGACTGGCCAATAGGAGGGCTTCGGTTGTGTAGCCGCGTTTTAGTGAAGGTGTTTAACTTGTGGTATCAGGATCCTACTGAAATAGAAAGCGAGCCAACATATCAGTGGGTGCAAATGGTGGCAGTCTTACGGTCTTGCACATCATGTTTCGTTTGAAACGGTTTTTTGGCCGTAGCCTCTGAAGGACCCAAGAGTCCTAAGGAGCATGCCATCGAGTGGCGGCGAGACTGAATGCTGACGCACTTTTTCGCATCGACGCGTACGGTCTGATGATTATAACGTCTTTCAACGAACATGTACCTCCCCGATCAACAGTTAAGTGCGATGGTCAATATTCTGCTAAATCAAACCCTCTCACACCAGAAGAAACCCAAGTGCTCACGTAGACAGTATATATCTAGTCTATCACGTGATAGCCTCTCCCACATGACACCATCATGGAAAGGTCGCATCGGCAACGCTCTTTGGTCGGACTCATCTTGTTTCTAAATTTCCCATACACGCGCTGCCCGTTTGCCTACGAAAGCCAAAAAGAGAATGACCGCCAATACTACATTCATCCCGCATACCTCACAGAAAGCAATATGGAAACGATTGGTGCACGTTTACTACATGTACATTGTACATAAAATATGTAGAGTCAGGTTGGTTCTCCCCGCATATTCTAAAACAGTGTCTCGGGCACCCAGGCACAAAGAGACATCTAGATCTCGATGTGAGAAGAACTTCAAGAAGGCGTTCGTTTAGGCGTTTCCAGTTCCCAGCAAGGTTTCGACATTGGTCGCTTACGCACGCGTTGTTGTGACATGTCAAGCACGAAAGTACGTGGCAAGCCGGTAGAGGCTAGGCCTAGGATGTTCTTGTGTCTCATAGATTTCTTATCGTTATGGTTTCGATCTTCATCCAGATCCACCATACATCACGACAGAAGTCTTGACATCCATTTTGACCCTTCGATCTTCTGCCGCGCCCGATTAGCCACCATCTGGGTCTTCTTCGGAGTCGCCGCAAACGCCTTTTTCATTTTGGTTTTCAGGTACATGAGCTCCTCTTCTCGTAGTTTCGCCTTGAGCTGTGGGCATGAAAAACCGTCGCAGATCATACACGTGGTGAGTTACAATTAATATCGTCTATGGTGCATGCAGTGTTCATGAGACGAAGTAGAACCCAACTGTGGCGTGGGAAATGGTTTATCAAACACCACCACCACGAAGAGAGAGAGCAGAGGGAAGGGGGTGAGGTGTTTTTTCGTATTGCAAGGCGATGAAGGACACGCACAGGCTTTGAACGTGAACCAAGCGTGGAGGAGTGGAACCGACTGCCAATATTTGAGTAAGGGTGAAGATAACCGTAATCGACAAGAAAAGGCGCGATCGTATGCCGGACATGGAAGTCGTGTCACCAAGCACACTAGCTGAAAGGGATGCAACCCTTCGATCACACTGAGGGGGTGCCTACCCCAGCACGCGAGCCGGCTTGCGATCTTCAGCTCTTCAACAGAGTTCAACATCGAGAAATTGGAAAATGCTGTATTGAAGGAAGAATAAATCAAGAACATCTTCGTCCTACAGTACATACACATAGTTCACCACATCCCACTTTCTCCATTAAAAGTATAATAGTTGTTCGGGGTCCTCACCGCCTTGGATGCTGATCCGTCGGCTTCCTTGATGATGTTCTCTCGGCCCTCGTTGAAAATCAGCAATTTCTTTACCCAGAACGCGTCTCCCAGAAACATTTTTCTCATTTCGGACTGCCGTCATGAAACGCAGTGTGGCAGGCAAACGGTAGGCAGAAATCAGAAATGTAAAGGGTCAACAAAAAAACTGATTTTTCTGCCCATATGTTTTCATGTAATGCAACTTGCTCCCGCACGTCTCGTACGCTTCCGGTTGAAGGAACGAAAACGTGAGGACACCATGTCAATTCTACTTTTTTTCCCATGACTTGCGCCCGGGGAGTTGTCGAACTTTCAAATTAAGTGACTCCATGTGTGTCCATCGGAACTGCTGTTGTATTCAAACCAAACTTCGCGAATTTCGACTGCAAGGGTGTTCCCCCGAGGAATTCCCCGTTCAGGTTGTGTCCTCCCGAGGAATTCTCCCTTCGCGTTTAAAAACCCAACTCAGCGAACCTGGGGATTTCTCACTTCTGGACATCGCAATGGAGAGAATCTAGACACATGAACGACCTCGGGGGTGTGTAGTACTTATCACCTGGAGGTTGGCCACCGGGTAGAACATCTTTGGAAAGCGCTTGTCGAGGTCCAAGAAATGGTTGAAGGACAGCTGCTTGTGGTCGGACGTGGCGACAACAGGGATGTTGGGGCGTTGGTTTGCACGCCAAGCGCTTCGACAAATATTCATTGCGTTGGAGAAGACTATCACCGGGCACTGCGAAAATCGCAGTAGCCCTTCCGAGCAGCATCATGTCTTTATATAATCATGACGCCAGCAAACTGTACGGACATGTCAGTGAAGCTTTAAATGCTAGAGTGCAAGAAGTCCTGATTCTGCCAATTTCTCTCCTACGAAGCATATGCGTAGAAGCCACGAAAGTGCCTTGCCTTGCCGATCCTCTCGATATCAGCGTCGCGAAGGGCTCGCTCGATCGGACCGGAGTTGGTCTTGTGGACGTCGTTGAGCAAGCTTAGCAGGTCCTCGAACGACACGTATCTTGGCGGCGTATGAGGCAACGCAGGCAAAGAAGAACGACGATTAGAATGTAAGAAACGACCCTTGTGGTACAAGAATTAACCGTAACAGTACAAGGCTGAGAAAAAATACTCGCCCGGGAGGACCATCCGTGCACCAGTATTGATTTTCTGCGACCGAGACGGAAGCATGCCGACGGGGCGGGGTTTTTGGGTGGGCGTGGCTGTGCGAACCGAAAGGAGCATATGTGACACAAGATCGTGACTGCTTGAAGGGGAAAAACCAATATGGCTGGTAACTCAACAAGCGTTTGTCAACTTGGTTGTGCATGAATCACCAACGAACCAACTAGGTTCATCTCAAAGTACCGTGTCGTTCAGCCAGGGGGCACCGTGGATATTCGAGGTATGTCGCCACAGTATATTGCATGCAAAACATGATATCCTGGTTTTGGCAGAGAGCGACGGTCGTTGTTTCACACGTCAAGTTACAGGATGGTTGTGCTGTTGATAGTATCGGATTCTGCAGGAAAAGGAATAGTCGCCATGGACCTGAAAACATTCCACAGGCTTCGTCATGCTTGGAGCCCCACCGAATTCTCCCACGAAACACATCTCCTCATCAACAAAATACCAATCGAAATACGTGTTGGCACTGCTGAAGAAATTGTGTCACGAATTGCGGGCAGGTTCCGTGTGTGCTCGATAAGACATAACCGTCATGGCCACCTCACCCTTTCCCCTGATCGTAGACCGTGTAGGCGTATCTCAAAAGATCCGCCTTTCCGAACATACAGTAGGAACAAACTAGCTGAGAGGAGGTCGGGGACGCCGATGTTGGTTGCCGAACAGACCGATTCCCCGCCGATGAGACGTTTGAAGTGTCGTTCCACAAGCAAGACCACGCGAGTTCATCGCACGTATGAAAATACCAACACGCACGAGGAGACGGGACGAGAGGCGAGGGGGGATTGGCTTGCTAGTGGGAAGTAGAAGAGTGTAGCGCTCTATCCAGTAACACCTTCGTGATTATTAAATGTGCATGCACGAGGGCCGTTGTTGAAGAGATGTTTTTTCTCCGGTATGTAGTATGTAGCATCGTTATGTAGGGCGGTCATGATCAGCAAGAAAACTTCATGACGACTATTCACGTGCCCTTAACGTGTGTAGCACGGGCTGTATGCGGTTGACATGCGAAACGATTGCACATTGAGCGTGGCCTTCAATGCTGTCCACATATGATGCAATCGATGCACCGGTCGCCCCGTTGGTCTAGTGGTAACCTCGAAAACGCTAATCGTAAAGTCGTGACTTCGAGTCCCCCTGAGATGAAAACATTTCAAATTTGCGGGTGAAAGCGAACAACAGCTGAAAAGCTCTCGTGAGTACCAAACTTCGACGCTAGCACCGTTTACGAGGGAAAGGGACGACTGGACTTTCTCGCGAAAAAAAAATCAGCACGCACAGCAGGAGGGAGGTGGGGGGGGGGGGGGGGGGGGTTTAACCCAAATCCTGCATTCCCCAATCCTTTTAACCTTTACCCCCCATCCCCAAAAAACCCGGAAAGAACCCCCTTGGTTTTCACCCAACCCGGCTCTCCCATCCCCAAACCCAAAACCCCCTTAAATAATCACCCAATCCCAATAAGGGTTCCCCCCAACCCTCCTAAAGTTTTTCCCATCTTTTTCTTAATTCCTTTCTTAAAAAAAAAAACTCCCCAAAAATTAAATTAATTTCCCGGAGTTTCCCCTCCCGAAAAAATTTAAAACCCTTTTTAACTTCCCCTAAGGTTCTTTAACAATTTTAA